ATAGGAGGGTGCACTCTGCCTCACCCCAGCGATAACAGCTCTGCCCCAGCTGAGGCTGCTGGGAAAATCAGCACCCTCAGGAAGGGGAAGGAAGAGCCCTTGCTCTGTTTTAACCCCCAGCAACCCCAAATGTACAGCAGAATAGAGTCTCTGCCCCCCAGCCCCATGCTAACTAACCCTTGCTTGGCTTGGTCCCCAGAGAAATGAGGCTGCTGCCTACTCACGCCCATCCCGCTTTGGGGATGGCTTCCACTCGGTGCTGCTGACCTTCATCGCCCTGGCCTGCGTGGCGGTCATTGCCATCGCGGTGTCTGCGGCCCTCTGCCTCCGGCGCCACGCCAAGCAGCGGGAGAAGGAGCGCCTGGCTGCCCTGGGGCCAGAGGGTGCTGCTGACACCACCTTCGAGTACCAGGTAGGGCCCTGCGGGATGTGGGACCCCGCAGGACGCGTCGCTGCCGCGTGTCAGCATCGCTCGGGGTGCACGGAGCTGCCCTATGGCGGCGCGGTGGCCAAGGGACGGGGCTGTGCTGGCCTTCCCCAGGAGCTGTGCCGCCAGCACATGGCCGCCAAGTCTCTTTTTGGCCGCGCCGACGCACCGGCGGCACCAGCGGAGACCTCGAGGGTCAGCAGTGTCTCGTCCCAGTTCAGCGACGCCCCGCAGCCCAGCCCCAGCTCCCACAGCAGCACTCCCTCCTGGTGCGAGGAGCCCGTCCAGTCCAACATGGACATCTCCACCGGACACATGATCCTGGTGAGCCAGCCTGGAGGGAGGGCTGCCAGCCCCCTCCCCAGCCCTGCATCTGGCCCTCTGCTGCTGGGCTGACTCCTGCCCCTCTGCCCCAGGCCTATATGGAGGACCACCTCCGCAACCGGGACCGGCTGGCCAAGGAGTGGCAGGCGCTCTGTGCCTACCAAGCTGAGCCCAGCATCTGCTCCGTTGCCCAGAGTGAAGCCAACCTGAAGAAGAACCGCAACCCTGACTATGTGCCCTGTGAGCATCCCAGCCACCCTGCCCCAGGGATCAGCCTCAGGGACCAGCTGTCCTGCTAGAGCAGGATGTGGGGCATGGGAATGCTCAGGGTCATGACTGATTGCAGCATTAGTGTGCCTGCAGCTCCTCTAGCCACTCACCAAGTCTCCTGGCCTGTTCCCCCAGATGATCACGTGCGGATCAAGCTGAAAGCAGAGAGCAACCCATCCCGCAGTGACTTCATCAATGCCAGTCCAATCGTGAGTGATCACTGGGGGCTCCTGCCCTGCCACCCTGCTCCTTGATGTGCCCAGCCCAGGTGAGGTTTTCACTCTGGGATGGGGCTGGACTGAAGTTACATCCTTCAGGGCTACAGATGTGAGCTTTGTGCCTGCCCCATTCCTCAAGCAATTGTTAAATCCCATTTTCATCCTGGCTGGGGCACCTGAATCTCCCTTCCCAGCCTTCTTATCACCCCTGGAGTATCCCCCTACTCCTTCAAGTGTCACCAACCCCTGGCCGAAGAGTGTGAAGTCTGATACCCCTTTCCTGCTCCAGATTGAGCATGACCCACGGATGCCAGCGTACATTGCCACGCAGGGGCCGCTGTCCCACACTATTGCTGACTTCTGGCAGGTGAGTGTCACACAGCTGTGCCAGCGCATTGGGGTCCCTTTGCGTGCTACCCACATTAATGGGTCACAGGGGCTTTACTGTCCTCCCACCTGGGCTGTCCCCCAGCAGTGAAACCCCCCTTGCCTTACCTGCAGATGGTGTGGGAACATGGCTGCACTGTCATTGTCATGCTGAGCCCCCTGGCCGAGGACAGTGTCAAGCAGTGTGACCGCTACTGGCCAGATGAAGGCTCCTCTCTTTACCACATTTATGAGGCAAGTGTGGCAGGGGCATGGAGCATCCTCCAGCCCCTGTCCCCCTGAGCATCAGTGCAGCACTTGCCTGGCACTGGTGCCCACGGTCTGCCTCACTTGGGCAGGTGAACCTGGTGTCAGAGCACATCTGGTGCGAGGATTTCCTGGTGCGCAGCTTCTACCTGAAAAACGTGCAGTCGCAGGAGACCCGCACCCTGACGCAGTTCCACTTCCTCAGCTGGCCTGCCGAGGGCATCCCCACCACCACCCGGCCCCTCCTCGACTTCCGCAGGTGAGCGCCCACCTGGCACCGTGCCAGCCCTTGGGGAGCCAGCGGTGATCCCAAATGCAGGCCGCTGATGGGCGAGGTGAGGACATTGCTGCCACGGCGATGAGGGTCGGGGCCATGGCATCGACCAGGTGTAGGGACTAGGAGCTGCCGTGGATGGGAGGGAGCAGAAAATACAGGTTTTGGCCAACTTGGGATGAGGCTCAAGAGAGCTTGGTGGGCAAGAAACCTCTGGCTGACATTGCCAGGGCTCTCCAGCCTTCACAGTGAGGGTGGGAAAAGTGCTCTTCCCCTGAGCTGGCATGGAGGGCAGCATTGACTGGCACCTTCACCAGCCATAGGTGCAAGAAGAAATCCCCAGAGCCAGCTTTAAACTGGCTGTGGCCCATTGCTCCCAATGCCCTATAGCCAGTGGTGGATCCCCAGCTAGCCCAGGGCAAGAGTGGCAGGACTGAGACTGCTCCCAGGAGACTTGCCTGCCCAGGTCTTTAGGTCCCTAGAGGTGGTGGGCTCTTGCCAGGCACAGGCTGCTCACTGTCCCTGGGTTGTGTGGGGCAAGGGACCCAGCCTAGGGCAGCGGGGGGGTCTCTGAGCATGTCGCCCTCCTCTCAGTCCCGCTCACGCTCTCTCTCTCTCTCTCTGTCTGTTTCTGTCTCTCTCTCGCAGCTGCCGGCGTCATTTTTGTGATTTGCAGCTAGTAATCTGGCTCCAGTTGCATAGTCACAAAAGTGATCGTTGGCAGCCGTGCCTGCTGCATGGAGCATGCCAGGAGCCCCACCGGCGCCTGGCCCCCAGCTTCACGCCCCACCGGACCAGAGCTGCTCCCTGGGGGTCCTGCCACTGCTCCCCTCCCCAGGCTGGGCACCTGAGGAACTGAACTCCTTTCCCTGCCCTGGCCACTTTCCACTCGTGGTCCCCATCCCATGTCCAGCATCATTGTGGAGGCAGGAGGAGCCATGAGCGGGACCCCCAGGGCCACATCATGGTGTGCTGCTGCCCTGCCCCACTGAGCACAGCAAGGGACACCTAGCACAGCCTTGACCCTGGCACAGCAGGGCACTGATCTGTTCCCTCTTATCCTTGCAGGAAGGTGAACAAGTGCTACCGGGGTCGCTCCTGCCCTATTATCGTGCACTGCAGGTACTGCAGGGGATGAGGGGCATTTGGGCTTGAGGGTGACTGAAGGCTGGGACCTGCTGCCCGGGACCAGTCCCATTGGAACCAGCTCCCCTGGACCAAGCATCTGTGTTTTGCAGTGACGGTGCAGGCAGGACTGGAACGTACATCCTTGTCGACATGGTCCTGAACCGAATGGCCAAAGGTAGGTGCAGGGAGGCACCATTTCTGCCCTGTCTGTGAGCTTGGCCTGTGAGCTCCCCTCCTAGCAGCCCTCTCTCCCTCTGCCCCAGGGGTGAAGGAGATAGACATAGCTGCTACGCTGGAGCATATCCGAGATCAGCGGCCTGGTATGGTGCAGACCAAGGTACGCCCCAAAGTGGGGATCCTCTCTCTCTACAGGAGCATACATAACCCCTGGGGCTGAGGTGGCAGGGACTCTCATGTCTCCTGCTGTGCTCCTGCAGGACCAGTTTGAGTTTGCACTGACGGCTGTGGCCGAGGAAGTGAACGCCATCCTGAAGGCACTGCCACAGTGATGGCAAGGAGCCCTCCTCCTCCTCTTGTCTGCTCCCAGCCCTGCGCTTCGCCCTCTCCTCACCAGCCTCTGGGGCTGCTCTCCCTGTAAAATGGTGTCTGTGCTTCTGGCTCTGCTCCCCCTGCCCCCAGGCGCCCCTTCCCATCTCCCCAAGGACACTGACCTCAGGCCCTCTGTGCAGGAACCCCATCATACCCACTGTCACCTCAGAGGTGACAGGGCTTGTGGTCCTTAAGCCCCGTGGAGGGGGTCACCAGGTGGTGCTGCTGGGAACCGGCAGGGGGACGCCCCAACCTGTCAGTTCTGCGTTAGCCCTCTTCCTGTACCCATGTGGGGGGCAGAAGTGGGGACAGGGGTCCTCCACAGTCAGGGGGAGCATGGGGTGCAGGGGAGTCTGGCCCAGCCCCACTCCAGATCCCCTTTGTGTGCTCCCTGCCTAGTCACTCAAGCAGAAGAAAAATTTCTAGAGAACTATAATTTTGTATCTTGATGTGAATAAAGTTATTGTGTCACGTTCGTGCAGCTGCAGCCAGGCCTGGCCTCCGACTGTGTGTATTGGGATGGCACAGGGAGGAAATGTGGCATCTGTCCGTCTCTATCCCTGCACTCTGCAACTGCCAGACAAGTAGGGCTCACCTGCAGGCAAAGATGAGAACCCTGCATCCCCAGCCAGAAAGTCCCCACAGGCAGAAGCTACTGCAAACAGGTTTATTGACAGCTGTTAGCAGAAGGGAGGTAGAGAGGGGGGGCTACAGCGAGGAGGGGGGCAGAGCCCAGCCCTGCTGGCTGAGCCCAGCCATGCTGCCCCTCGCTGCATACAGCCAGCAGCCTAATCTACAGCAACCCCCATCACCACCCTCTCCACCACCCTGTGGTGCCCAGGGCCTCTCCCCCCAGCCCCAGGTATTGCTCAGCCACAAGCCCTGTCATGCCCCCCCTCACCGCATCCCACGGAGCCAGAGGGTGCTGGGGAAGGGGGTGGCAGGGGGTGGCCGTGCAGGGAGAAAGCGGAGTCCTGGCTGGGAGAACCTTCGTGGGCGAGTGGGCGTGCGCGGTCCCCGGGCGCAGCAGCCTCAGAACACACCTGGGGGGAGACAAGCGGAGGGGGGTACACAACAGCACCTGTGAAATCCTCCTCGGCCAAGGGCTGGGGAGAGGCAGGGATGGAGGGAGGAAGGTCCCAGGCAGAGGAGGAAGACAGCCAAGGCAGAACTACGGGCAATGAAGAGGGTAGGAACACTTGTGAACATCACGGAGGGTCACGGCTGCTGTGGGAAGCAAGGAGGGACAGTGCCCTGGAGGGTGTGCAAGGCATACGGAAGGGAGTGACCAGGCAGAGTCCGCAAGGAGACAGAGGAGGAGGGAGTACAGGCAGGAGCAACAGCATCCAGAGGGAAGAGACAAGACACAAGGCACCAAGCAGAGGCTATGTGCACAGCCCTCCTTGCAAGGAGGGGAGCTCAACTCAGCACTCCCTGCAGCCTGGGCAAGGACAGGCTGCAGCCAGGGAGGCACCTGCTGGAGACCCTGCCACCTGCAGGGCTGGCAGGGAGAGAGGGGCAGGCACAGCCAGAGCATGTCTGCCCTCGGGCCCCCTACGCTTCCAGTAGCTAGGGCAGGGAGCTGCCTCTCTTCCTGGGACCCCATCAAGGGGGCTCCTCTTCAAGCCACTACCTCCACGTCTGGGAGCCTCCAACGCTGGGATGCCACTAGCCATCCGCTCACCTGAGCAAGGAGGCAGGGCAAGGAGGCACCCCCCTCCCGCCGCTCACCTGAGCAAGGAGGCAGGGCAAAAGACAGCCCCCTCCCTTGCTAGGGGAGGCAGGAGCTGAGTTCCAAGCAGTGAGACTCCAGCCCTGCTTTCCTCTCCCTGCCCCACGCTCAGAGAAGGGGGCAGTGCCACAGCTTCACTTTGGGGGCAGGTTCGTGCCCCTCTGCAGCAGAACTGCTGGCCCCCAGCGGCTCCTGCTCCAGCCTCCCCCGGGCACCACGGGCTCTGCGGGTGGAGGACGGGCTGCTGTGGCTGCCCCCCGCTGCCGACAGGGAGCCGGGGCTGTGCCCACCTGCTTGGTGGTGCCCTGCAGCTTCCATCTCAGAGAGGCTGTAGGCCATGGCCAGCTGCAAGTCCTCATCCTCATCCTCGCTATCCGTGTAGAGGCAGACAGGTGAGGAGCTCGAGGTCTGGTGTGGGGCCGGTGCTGGCGGTGAGGGGGGCCGTGGCCTGGGGAAGGCTTGCTGCTCCCGCCGGCTCAGCTCCAGCCCCAGCGCCATGTCATCAGGAACACCTGTGGGGACAGGGGTAGGTGTCCACTCCAGTTCCCCAAAGCTGGTGTGGGGCCCTGGCACCTCCAGCCCACCCCACCAATCCTTCAGAGCAGAGCAGAGCTCCAAACCAGGGCCAACCCTGGTCCAAAACAAAGTCTGGATGCAGCACCTCCCAGACACCCCAAAAGGAAAGGGCATAGATCTCAACAACTCAGTCTCTAGTGCCCCTTCTCACCATTGATGTGAATCGACTTCAGCTCCCCATCCTCCTCCACTTCCACCCGTTCCCGCCCATTCTCAACAATCCTGCAGACAGACAAACAAACAGATGGACGGTCAAGGGCCATGCAGCCAGTGCCCCACAGCAGGAAGTTGCAGGGTCAGAGGCCTGCTGATGGAAGGAAGCCTGTGGGAGCAAGGTGGGCTGGCGGTGCCCTCACCTCTTGGTGGTGATGCGCCTGCCGTTAACAAAGGTGGTGGAGGTGGAAACAGAGCGGAAGCCCAGTCCTGCGTCTGCACCAGAGCTGAAGGATGAGGCGAAGAAATCTAGAGAAGGGAGCAACAAAGTTAGTGCCAGGATGGGTGGCAAGAGGGCAGGAGACAGACTCTGCAAGGGGAACATGGTGTTCTTGGACTCCCCTGCTGGGAGGAATGGCAGCATCTCCTACCTGAGGATCCTGGGAAGGGGGAAAAGAAATGTCCTCCCCCATGGTGCCGGGGGCCAGGTCCTCGCAGCTCAGAGAAGGGCATCATGTCATCTGAAAGGCAGGGCCCCCCATCACCATTACCCCATCAGCTTGGTGAATCAGAAACAGGGCACTGATGTGGGGACTCTCTGCCAGGGCCAGCCCTGAGCTCTATCCCCAAGCTCAGTAGCTGCCCCACAGACAGAGAGATGCCCAACAGCCAGCCTCCCCTGCCCCACACGCACCAAAGAATTCAGCAAAGGGGTCTCGTCCGCCAAAGAATTCCCGGAAGACGTCGTGAGCGCTGCGGAAGGTGAAGGTGAATTCGGGGGCCCCGGCACTGGCCCTGGAGCCACCTGGTCCTGCTGGAGGGAAGACACTCAGTGTTAAATGGAGCCCTGGATGACATCTCCCCTGAAGGGTGGGGAGCCCTGGTGGCACTGACCCACCCTGGGTCTTCAGACAAGGATGTATCCAGAGCTGCACTAACCCCCACGGCCCTACTCACCTGCTCCCATGAGTCCATCCTTGCCATAGCGGTCGTAGATGTCACGCTTCTGCTCTGGAAGAAGAAAAGAGGCTGCCAGTGGGGACAGGAGCACTGACACTTCTCCCAACTAAGGGAGGTGCAGAACAGCAAGGAGCAAGAGGAGGTGGTTGGCACAAAACACTGCCACCCCAGCACTCAACCCAAACCCAAGTCAGACCACTGGGCAAGAATGCAAAAGCTTCAGGCCCACTGTGGAGAGCCCATTGTGGATGTCAACAGCTCAGCATCTCTCCCAAGGGCTGTTTTGGGAGACATGAGGAAGTAACCAAGCCCCAAAAGCTGTGTGGTAAAGCTGCAGGGACCCACTGCCTCCTGGGGACAGCCAGGGATGCAACCTGGGTGAGCCCAGAAGCAGGACATCCCAGTGTGAACACACACACACACAAGACATCACTGTGGCCTCTTACTGTCCGACAGCACTTCGTACGCCTCAGCAATCTCCTTGAACCTCTGCTCAGCATACTCCTTGTTGTCTGGGTTCTTATCCGGGTGCCATTTCAGCGCAGCCTTCCTGTACCTGCACAGAGGAGCAGTGATGGGCACACAGCAGCCCTTGGGCCAGCAACCCCCACCCGAGCATGTACCTCCCAACCTGTGGGCAGGGGCACCCCAAGCCCGCTTCACCCAGCACCCTACAGCCTCAGGCACTGAACTGGAGCTCCTGGACTAGTTCTTCCTTCCAAGAGTATGTGTTTTCATAAATAAATATACATACACACACATATATACAGATATATACATATTTATGCATACACACACCAACACACACAGACTAAACAAACAAAACAGAAATTACTCCAGAACTGCAGCACAACCACAGCAGTGCAATGTGTGCCCACCTCAGCTGCCCTCATCAATGGCTCTGGACAATGCTCACAGGTTTGTTCTGGAGCCTTCATGGGCTCCACTGTGAGTGTCAATGTACCAGGGGTTCCTAGGGGCCCCCGGGGCCAGGAGAGCACCAGCAGCCCCCTCTTCCCCACTGCAGCTAGCTAGGGTTAACCCATGCTTCTCAGCTTCTCCCACTCCCTCTTGGGAAGCCCCTCACAGGGACCTCTGCCACCTGTTGGCAAGCCAGCAATCTGCTGGCATTCCCCTCAGGCAATGCCTCACCCCAGTGACAGCAGCAGCACATGGGCAGGGCACCAGGCAGGAGTTGCAGAGACTCTGTCAGCTTCCCAGCAGTACCGGAGCACAGCACCCACCTGCCCACAGGGCCCACATCCCTAATACAGGACATGCTGCTCTTCACTCTGTGACCTCCAGCCCCCTGAGTTTGATGCCAGCAGAGTGCCTGTGCCCCAACCATGTGCCATCCCTGCACCCTCCGGCACAGAGAGAGGGGAGCCTCCAAACACCACCAAGACTTGCCTCCAGCCCCAGGCCGACTGCAGGGAGAAAGGAACCAAACCCCACCAAAAGATGCCTTTGTATGGCAGCAAAGCCCAACCCCGCTCTGGCATCCATACAATGGAAACAAAGGCTGAATTGTCACCTCTGGAGCTGGGCCCTGTCCCCACAGGCCCTGAAAGGAGCCTCTGCCTCGCTGGCACCAGGTGGGGGCGGCTTGGGGGACTCTGCCGTCAGGCAGAGGCACGCTGCCATACACTTACGCCTTCTTGATGTCCTCAGCGGTGGCGTTGCGGCTCACCCCCAGCGCTTCGTAGTAGTCGACCATGACGTGAGCTGTCCCACGGGGTCACTGCATGGGGAGAAGGCAAAGTCAGGGCTCCACAGGCACAGCCTGGTAGTGCTGGGTGTGGGACAGCAGCTAGAAAGCTGCTTACCCTCTCTAGCGCCCCGGCCACCCCACTGCCTCCCGAAAGCAACTTAGTGCAACGCCGTGCCCAGCTCCCACCACCCTGCCCACTCCTCGGCCCCCTGGGAGCACCGACAGCCCCAGTCGGGGAACCCTTTGCTGCTGACGCAGCGCCGTCCCTGGGCCAGCAACCCCCACCCGAGCATGTACCTCCCAACCTGTGGGCAGGGGCACCCCAAGCCCGCTTCACCCAGCACCCTACAGCCTCAGGCACTGAACTGGAGCTCCTGGACTAGTTCTTCCTTCCAAGAGTATGTGTTTTCATAAATAAATATACATACACACACATATATACAGATATATACATATTTATGCATACACACACCAACACACACAGACTAAACAAACAAAACAGAAATTACTCCAGAACTGCAGCACAACCACAGCAGTGCAATGTGTGCCCACCTCAGCTGCCCTCATCAATGGCTCTGGACAATGCTCACAGGTTTGTTCTGGAGCCTTCATGGGCTCCACTGTGAGTGTCAATGTACCAGGGGTTCCTAGGGGCCCCCGGGGCCAGGAGAGCACCAGCAGCCCCCTCTTCCCCACTGCAGCTAGCTAGGGTTAACCCATGCTTCTCAGCTTCTCCCACTCCCTCTTGGGAAGCCCCTCACAGGGACCTCTGCCACCTGTTGGCAAGCCAGCAATCTGCTGGCATTCCCCTCAGGCAATGCCTCACCCCAGTGACAGCAGCAGCACATGGGCAGGGCACCAGGCAGGAGTTGCAGAGACTCTGTCAGCTTCCCAGCAGTACCGGAGCACAGCACCCACCTGCCCACAGGGCCCACATCCCTAATACAGGACATGCTGCTCTTCACTCTGTGACCTCCAGCCCCCTGAGTTTGATGCCAGCAGAGTGCCTGTGCCCCAACCATGTGCCATCCCTGCACCCTCCGGCACAGAGAGAGGGGAGCCTCCAAACACCACCAAGACTTGCCTCCAGCCCCAGGCCGACTGCAGGGAGAAAGGAACCAAACCCCACCAAAAGATGCCTTTGTATGGCAGCAAAGCCCAACCCCGCTCTGGCATCCATACAATGGAAACAAAGGCTGAATTGTCACCTCTGGAGCCTGTCCCCACAGGCCCCGAAAGGAGCCTCTGCCTCGTTGGCACCAGGTGGGGGTGGCTTGGGGGACTCTGCCGTCAGGCAGAGGCACGCTGCCATACACTTACGCCTTCTTGATGTCCTCAGCGGTGGCGTTGCGGCTCACCCCCAGCGCTTCGTAGTAGTCGACCATGACGTGAGCTGTCCCACGGGGTCACTGCAGGGGGAGAAGGCAAAGTCAGGGCTCCACAGGCACAGCCTGGTAGTGCTGGGTGTGGGACAGCAGCTAGAAAGCTGCTTACCCTCTCTAGCGCCCCGGCCACCCCACTGCCTCCCGAAAGCAACTTAGTGCAACGCCGTGCCCAGCTCCCAGCACCCTGCCCACTCCTCGGCCCCCTGGGAGCACCGACAGCCCCAGTCGGGGAACCCTTTGCTGCTGACGCAGCGCCGTCCCGCCGTGTCACCCCGGCTTGCCCAGGCAGGGTGAAGGGGTCCCCGCTGCCGGGGCCGCTCCCTGCCCGCCTCCCCCGGGGCTCAGTGGCGGGCCGGGGGCAGCGGCAGGGCGCAGCGTGCTAAGGTGCTTAGCGGCTGGAGCGGATTAAGGGCTCAGCGGGGACCGTCCCCATCGCCGGGCACGCCGGGACACTTCCATCGGCCGACCCGCTCCGGGCGGGGGACAGGAGCTGAACGCGGCCGCTGCAGCCCCCCGCGACCCCCCGTGGTACCGTCCCGCCCCCGGTACTCGCCCCCGGCCCGCGGGTCCCAGCTGACGGGAGGGCGGTGCTGGCGCTGGCACCGGCACCACCGCGGCACTGGCACCGCCCCCCGGCCCGGCAGTAAACACGGCGCTCGCGGGGCCACCCGCTGCTGCTGGAAGTTTCCGCACCCCGCCCCGCCGCCACCGGCGGGCGGCCCTGGACTGCGGCCAGCGGATCTGGGGCACCGGGAGGGGCGGCGGTGGCAGCACGGCGAGGGACAGCGCGGGCCCCGCTCCCCCCGTGCGCCACGGTTCGCCTCTCCCCGGCGGCCCCTTGCGCCCCGCTCCCCCCGTCCCGCCCCGGTGCCCACCTGAGCGCCGCCGCAGAGCCCTCCCCCCGGTGTCGCGCGTCCCCCGCGCCCGGGCCACCGCCGGCCTGAGGCGGCTCCGCTGCTGACGGGCGGCGGCCGCAGCCAACCGCGGCCCCTGACGTCACGTCCTCGCCGTTCGCCGAGTGACGTAAGGGGAGGCGCGTGAGCCAGGAGCGCGGCCGCTCCGCCGGCCGGGCCCGCTCAGCCCCGGGCTCTCCTCATGCCCGTCTCGTCCCCGCGCCTGCTCCTCTGCTCCCCGGGCCGCGCCTGGGCCCCGGACAGCGCCAGCAAGGTGCGGGTGCGCTGGCACCGGCCCGTCCCGCTGGTGCCGGCGCTGACAGCGCACCGCAGCGGGGCACGGCTGCAGCCCGGGGCAGCCCCGGCGCCGCGTGCCGCTGGCTTCCCGCCGAGTCAGCTGCCCGGCCGGTCCCGCCGGGAAGGAGGAGCCGGCCGGGGGGGACGGCTGAGGTGACTCAGCGCTTTGTCGGGGCGCGGGACGTGACGGGGCGCAGCTTGCCAGAGCCCTGCCGGGAGCCCGGGCCGCCTGGCACCGCTGTGGTGGCACCGCTGTGGTGGCACCGGCAGGCGGGAGCTGCGCCACCCGAGCACCAGGGTGCCCGCACCCCCGGAGCTGCGTTGCTGACTTTTGTGGCTCATGGCCCCTGCCTGACAGCTGCTGCAGCGGGGCTGTGCTCGCCCGTTCTCAGGGCCCTGGGCGGTCTGGCTCACCTGCACCTCTGAATGTGTCCGCGCCACGGAGATTTGTGATTCCCTCTTGCGGCCTGGATGGGAGAAGGAGGGAGCTTGATCTCTTTGCAGGGTCAGAGCTTTTTGGATGCACTGCCACACCTACACCACAGCTGGAAGCTTCCTCACCTCCCATAAATCCCTAACTGGGAAGCCTGGCAGAATGAGGAGGCCTGTCTGAGACAGGCCATTCCCAGCACTCCTCAGCGACAAGTTCCAGGACAGATATCCTCGAGAAGAGCCTTCCCCAGCCATGAGTCGTGCGCCTGGTGTAGATGAAATGCCAAGGGCATCATCTCATGTGCCAAAGGCATTTGTCTCTCCAAGGAATGGGGGACCTGTCCCCTGCCATCGGACAGCAAATTGATGATTTCCTTGAACAACGGCTTGGAGTCCTTCCTGCCCCTGGGGATATTTTTCCCTGGATGCCGCTGCAGCACTGTGCTCCTGTCCCTGTTTGCCCGCGAGCAGGGAGCAGCTCTCCCCGGCTGCCGGGGCTCTGCTGGGCCCATCCCGCAGCGCTGGCTGCAGAGCCGGCCTGGGCACTAGATGGAGCCACAGGCTGCTTCACAGGCCGCCCGTCCTGCGGCTGCGAGGGCGAGGAGGAGCCGCCAGCACCTAGCCGAGTCTTGGCACCTCGCTGTCCTTTCCCTGGCTTTTGCAGCTGATGCGAGGACAAGGAGGCCCCCGAGATGACAGATCTCAGCTCGCTCTGTGCACACCGCTGGGGAGGCCTCTGTGCTGGGATAGCAGAGAGCTCCACAGGCTGGCTGTGAGTGTGGAGCCGGGAGAGCACACTGCCGATGCCTTCATGGCAAGAGTTTCCCTCACACCCTGAGATCAGGATATGGACTGAGGAGGACTGACACATCCCCAGTATTCTTAGGGAGGCGGTGGAGAGTTGGGCGGTAGCCCACCACAGCCCTGGTAGAGAGAAGATGTGTATCAGCCACACCTCATGCCAGACCTGCCACAGGCACTCTTCTACTCAAAGCTGGCACAGCCCACACCTTCAGCTGCAGCACCTGCCCTCTTCACCTGCCCTTTCCTCCTAGGTCTGCCTCAAGTCCTGGTGCTCACATCAGCTTCAAATCAAGCACAGGCATCTTGAGTGCGTCTCAAGAAGACCCTTATTTCTAAACAAATTTTGGGGATCGCTCTGTTGCAAGCTTGTTTTCAGCTTTCCAGGGTCTCAAAAATGCTCATGAAATACTCTTGAGGCTTTCTGAGGAAAGATGTTTTGGGTGAGCAAAGCAGGACGCCAACGGACCAAATATTTTTATCCTGGTTACCCAATCTCTCAGGAAGCCAACCGAATTGCATCATAAACCCATGATATATTATTATGCAAACCACAAATTAAGCTATATTTTTTTTTCTGCACTGCACAACATTTCAGCTTTTGATTTCCACATGAAAACACAAGCCCTTTCACAGCCGTAACAAAACTGGCAATTACGTACTGAAAAGTTGTATTCTTGGCAATTTTTGAGCTAAGAAGTGCTCAGCAAGTCGTGTGCCTGCTGCTCCCCTCATCACATGCAGCCAACTTCCTTCCTCTTCTCCCCATTCCCAAGGCAAGGTCCCCATTCCTTGAGTGGAGCTGCAGAAGGGGAGAAGCAGGAGCCAAAGCTACTAGGATGGAGTGAGAGGGTTTGAGCAGAGACAGGCTCCTGGGTGCCATTTCTGTGCCACCTTCTTCTGCCTGGCTGCTTCTAGGACAGATGGTGATGCTGGCCATCTCTTGGCACGGCCACAGTGCCAGTGAGCCCCCTGAAAAGGGGTCAGTGGGAGCTCCAGGGCTTGCTCACCCCTGGAAGGGCTGCATCACGTTGGGGGCCCCCAAGTACACGGGGCTGGTGAAGAGATCGCTTGAGCAGGACCCCCATTTTTAAAATTGCATTGATTCTTTTACTCACAGTCCTGCTGTCTCATCCAAAAAGCCTTGTCCCCCCTGCCTAACTTCCCTGCACAGCTAATTTCTTCACACCTTCCTGTTTTTTATGGTCTGCATGTTTGTTTTGGGGGCCAGGCTGTCAGCCACCTGCCCATCTCCTTGTCCCCTCTGTTCTCATCTCAGCTGGCTGCTTTAGAATTGTACCTTCTAGATACTGGGGACAATCCAGGGAGGCAAAGTCATGCAG